TGCGGCTGCGGCTGCGACTGTGGCTGTGACTGTGGCTGTGGTTGTGACTGAGTGTGGGTGTGGGTGCGAGTATACAGAAAATGAATACACACACCCATACCGACAGACACCTCCCCACTGTTACACTCATCCCAACCACACCCGCACTCACAGCCAGTCAAATCCAAATCCAAATCAAGTCAAATCCAGGAATTGGATTTGACTGGGTTTGGATTTGGTGCATCCCTAGTTTTAACAAGCTAGTTTTTGAGTTATAATAGCTTAGTGGGGCCCACAAACGCTTAAATTTTTATGGGATATGGAAATGCTTGTGTATGTTGTTGTTGAGGCGCTTTGAAATACGCCAGTTGTATTTCTTCTCGCAGAAATGTTATAAGAGCTGAATTAGCGGCGAGTGTTTATATGTTTGAGCTTACTCAATATATTACATGTTAAGCATACATGGATTGCCAAATTGTTGTATAGAAAGCTGTACATATGTTCGTCATGGCCACAATCATGTTTTACAATATGCCGTTGAGCGTCCCGAACAAGACGATAAAGACAAAGATCACATACAAGTATCTATTAAGCGACGGTGTGGGTGTGGATACGGGGCTTGGGTGTCGGTATGAGAGTTTCCGTTTCAGTTGCATCCCACCCTCACCGACACGCGCATCTACATCTCAGGAACTTGCCTTGCAGAAGCAAATTGGTAGCCAATGTAGAAATTGTGATGAGAGCAGCTTCGGTACTTATAAACAGATTGTCAAATTGAGAGAGATATCGATCAAATATAGACCAAGACTGTCATGTATGATGAGGTGTTCGCTGATTCGTCTATCGGTTGTAGGACTAACTGCTATTCTTCATGAAATAAAAGACGTAATTTTATAGATACTCTGAGGTCATCGAAAGACAGGCTCAATTAAAAGCAAACGTTGGATATAGTATATACAATCATATTCCTGTTAGAAAAAGCTCATAGAAAGTCATTTCAGCTCATTTAAGTAAAAACCTTAAGCCTTTTTCGAAAACTTGAGTATGACCTACTTGTGATATATTAAAAACTATTTCTGTTCAATATAAATCGACTCCACATTCATATAGTACGAGCAGTGAACATTATCGGTGAATGTTCTTGTGGAATGAAAGTAGTTTTCTATGGCTCTATACTTCATCAGTAACGTTGTATTTGGATCATTCCAATGTGAAACATTTCTATTCCATGGGAATTGTTCGTCTCTCCCAGGTCTATTCCAGTACCCATGCAACCACACATCATAACTGTTGTGAGGAAATTGATAAAGTAATTTTAGTTTCTTGGCGAGGTCGTATCGAATATAAACTAAATTGTTCCAATCATACACCCCTAAGAGAACGTATCCTAATTCATAAGAAAGCAAGCGTGTCCATGCTGTTATACTGGCTCCGTACAAATGATCGCCTTTATATGCATAGGGAACGCGATATCGTGTGTAAAAGTTTATTGGAGGTGGCACCTTTTCGTTCATTTCGACCACAATGATTGCCGGTTCGAACTGAGTTCGACAATTATTTGATCGATCAATAAACAATGTTCGAACGACTGGATAATCATAGCCATCAATATCCATTTTGAAGAGCAGAGCTCTGTATGGTACTCTATTGTCTCTAAACAGTTGTTGTACTGTGTGTGGTTCCAACGCTCGATTCAATTTTAGAATGTTGCTCGCTGGTAGGTTGGCTTTTAATTGTTCATAAAGCTCTTCTTGAAGCTCAATTGCAATCCCTGGATATTTATGCTTCATAAATATCGGGTATAATGGATCTCCTGAACGCCCGTCATTTGCACCACAATTGATTAAATATCGAGTTTCTGACTGGAGGTAATCTTTGTGTATATTCATTAGACTAAGTAGATCTGATAAAGTGTAGTCCGAATAGTTGCTGTTAGAAGTGATTGAACATTGATTTTTGAACCACTCACCGAAAGATCGACATAATGGTTTTGCTACGCGAGCGTAGTCAGGGACCCACGAAGAGTCCACAGGATAATCAAACTGATACGGCAACTTGTGCAACGACTCTTGAATACACTGACCTGCAGGATCAATACTCTTAGGAGTGAACCATGGGAACGATTCATGATCGGGAAGTATTTTCCCTATTGTATACATTAAAAAAACGCCAGTAAATATTCCAAGCACTAGTTGACAATATTTTTTTACGAGAAACCGGATTCTCATTTTCCTCATATTTCAACGCTCAATCTGAATTGAGGAAACACTAAACTGCGAACTTATGTATAATCAGTAATCTATATGGTTTATCGTATGCT